AAAATAGGCCAGATAATGAAATCCATTTGTAGCAGGTGATTTTTAACTACTAAATAATTTGTATTTTAACCTTTTGAATAACTTATTCACATGTACTAAAAAAGAGATACAGTCACATTCTTCTTCCTTCCTGCTGTCCTTGCCTCTGACCCCCCTATCACACAGGTGACCACTCATCATGATATGCAACAAATACCATTACTATCCACTGCAGGCCACACACTGTTCTAAATGCTTTGTGAATATCAACTTGTTCACAAGCTGTGAAGCAGATGGTGTAATTTTGTCCTTTTTACAAAGGAGGAAGCAAAGCATAGAGAGGTTAAGTAACTTGCCTGTGATCACTCAGCTATGTGGTGGGGCCAGGTTTCAAAGACCAGCAGTCCAGCCCTGGAATTAATGGGTTTATCCATTATGTCACCCTTCAAGAGTCTTTATGCAAATACAAGCAAACATAAAGATACGGTATTTTCCCCTCATTTCTTCCCAAAGGGTAGTATACTGTTCTCATTGTCCTGCTCCCTCTGTTTTCTTTCATGCTTAACCTACTTACTGGAAATCATCCCACATCAGGACACAGAAAAACTTCCGCATGCTTTCTTGCAGTACTATGTTATTCGGACTAAAGACCCTCCCCTTCATGGTTCAACCAGGAAGCAGGAACTGGATCTTTGTACCTGTCCTGCAGGTCCTGATTGCAGGCCTCCAGTTCTGTTGACAGGAGAGGGCGAGCTGGCTCTTCTGCCCTGCATGGGGCTCAGCAGTGGAAGGTTAGAGTCAAGAGGGCCCATGCAGGGGCCCCTGGGTGGCTCTGTCGGTTAAGCATCTACCTTCCAATCTACCTTGTCCAGTGGCCAGCTGGACAAATTCCTGCCAGCCAGGTCTTTTCATTGAGGCATGCTATTAAGGTTGACGATTGGAGGGGCACCTGGGTGGCTCGGTCGTTAAGCGTCTGCCTTCGGCTCAGGTCATGGTCCCAGGGTCCTGGGATCGAGCCCCGCATCGGGCTCCCTGCTCCGCGGAGAGCCTGCTTCTCCCTCTCCCACTCCCCCTGCTTGTGTTCCCTCTCTCGCTGTGTCTCTCTCTGTCAAGTAAATAAAATATTAAAAAAAAAAAAAAAGGTTGATGATTGGAAGAGCAGCGGGGGAAAAGGGAAGAAGACTCGCCAGTCTACCAGCGTTTGCAGATAGCATTAGGTGTCCTGCACAAGAGGAATACTTAAGCAAGACCCCTGCCCCGTGTGCAGAAGCAGCTGGTAGCAGCTACCCTGAAACGCTCTGCCTCTCGGAATTCATTCCTCTTCCCAAATGTGAGATTCTCCTACTATCTCTACGGCAGCCTTGCAGCCGGAATTAGCAAAGTGGAAGTGAAGGCACTGCTCTCAGTGGGGTCTTTTTTTTTTTTTTTTAAAGATTTTATTTATTTATTTGAGAGAGAGCACACGAGAGGGGGGAGGGTCAGAGGGAGAAGCAGACTCCCCGCCGAGCAGGGAGCCCGATGATGATGCGGGACTCGATCCTGGGACTCCAGGATCATGACCTGAGCCGAAGGCAGTCGCCCAACCAACTGAGCCACCCAGGTGCCCTATCTCAGTGGGGTCTTGAAGGAAAAGTGGAACAGAAAGGGTGCTAATCCCCAGGACAGGGTGCTCAGAAGCCTCACAGCTAGTAGGGGGCAGACTCGGATCCCTTGGACTCGGATTCTAGCAGAACGTATCTATTATGTCGTGGACTTCGGGTCTCCGTCTTTTTTTTCCTGGTGCTTTCTGCATCTTGATAATCGTTTCTTCCTTTTGTTTGTCTCTCCAGTTACATGCTTTAGCCTGATCACAGGGGTTACTTACCCAAAGTTAAGCTACAGACGGAGTTTTCCCAAGGCTGGTGCCTCTTAGGAAGATGAAGTCAGTGGGATGGAATGGGCCGCTCTCTAATACGTATCTGCGGTCTGGGAAGACCTGGGTTTAGCAAAAAGCTCTTTCGGTTAGAAGGAAAAACAAATATTGACTGACTCAAATCCAGAAAGAGGAAACAGATATTTTATATCATTTTGAAAATGAGAGTTCAAGTTAGCGGCAGGCTAGGTAAGGGAATTTCCTCCCTTTTGAAATATTTGCCAGGAATAAGAATCACATTTCATATTCAATTTTAAGGTACTTTTTGTAACCATGGAAAGTATTTTCTTTAAAGGGTGTATATCTTTGTTCCCCTTTTGAATTCCTTTAAAAAAAAGTTTACTTCTTAAATCTATTCTAATAGAAGTGGAGTCCTTTTTTTTTTTTTCATGTAACTTATAACCAAGCCAGTTTTTCTTATAAAAGATGCTCACCAGTCTTGTTTTGCTCATCATTGTGGATGGGCTAGTGGCAGCTTTAAAATATCACAGTTGCTGCTGTTGTAGTTTGTTTCAGAATAACTCATATTGCAGAAGGTAGAAGTAGAGTTTTATCTCTTAAAGACCTCCAGCCTGTTAGACTTAATACAAGTCTTATTAGGGTCTTGGAGTGGCCTTCCATTAGCTAAAGACTTGTCCAGAGGCAATGAGAAAATGCAGGGAGAATTTTAACGAGGTCCTGGTCCCTCGTAAGCCCTGACCAGTGTTAGTTGTTATTATAACCTATAAAATGCGTATAACAGAGCCACTTCCATCTCTTTCGGAGGCACGGATTGAAGATTTTGTGTGCATGTGAAAGACCACCTGCAGATAATTTTCCACATGCACAGAGGAAACCGTCGGGATGGGTCATTGTCAGGAAATTCAAAAGTAAATCCTACTTCCCCCATGCACAGCATGTCCTTGAACACTACAGAAGCTTGCTTTGTTGATATTCGTCTCCACTGAGCTTTTCTGGAGGCCCAGGAGAGGGAGAGGACTCCACAAGAGTATTTACTGCCCACGAAATCGGCCACGTCATTCTGTGACGGTCACAGAAGGCTCTGTTTTCCAGGAGAGGGGGTCAGGGCTCTGTGAAGGGTCCCGCGGGCAGATGCCTGAGTCCCAGCCCAGTGCTCGTTTGTGCTGCCTCCTTGGGGAAAGAAGCATGGAGAAAAGCTGGCATTGCACCTGTAGACCAGACGGAAAATGTAGGGAGGAAGAGTCTGGAGAAGGTGGAGGCTATTTCTCTTTTAAAAATCAGATGATGGGCGCCTGGGTGGCTCAGATGGTTAAGTGTCTGCCTTCAGCTCAGGTTATGATCCCGGGGTCCTGGGATCGAGCCCTACATCGTGCTCCCTGCTCAGCGGGAAGCCTGCTTCTCCCTCTCCCTCTGCCTGCTGTTCCCCCCGCTTGTGTTCTCTGGCTCTCTCTGTCAAATAAATAAATAAAATCTTAAAAAAAAATAAAGGATTCTCTCCTTCTTCCTCTGCCCCTAAACGCTCATGTGCTGTCTCTCAAAAAAAAAAAAAATGCGGGGCGCCTGGGTGCCTCAGTCGTTAAGCATCTGCCTTCGGCTCAGGTCATGATCCCAGTGTCCTGGGATCGAGCCCCACATCGGGCTCCCTGCTCTGCGGGAAGCCTGCTTCTCCCTCTCCCCTCCCCCTGCTTGTGTTCCCTCTCTCACTCTGTCTCTCTCTGTCAAATAAATAAATAAAATCTTTAAAAAAAATGCATCTGTATTCATAAGGGTTATTGGTCTGTAGTTTATAAAAAGTATTTATGGAGCAACGTATATGCCAGGCATTGTTCTAGGTATTGGGACTTCAGCAATTTTTCAGAACAGATCAAAAAACAATCTTTTCTCTCGTGGAGTTTCCATTCCTGTGGATGACCAGCACGGTTGCTTTCCACTCACACTTGACATTGTTTTCTGTGTCCTCTCAATGATGCTGCATGTTCCATCCTCCATGCCAGACTTTTGGTACCTGGATGGTCAGTGTTGGGAGATTGGAAGGGGACTATTTCCTTTTTTAAATTGCTGTTCCTGGGGCGCCTGGGTGGCTCAGTTGTTAGGCGTCTGCCTTCGGCTCAGGTCATGATCCCAGGGTCCTGGGATCGAGCCCCACATCAGGCTCCCTGCTCCGCGGGAAGCCTGCTTCTCCCTCTCCCACTCCCCCTGCTTGTGTTCCTACTCTCACTATCTCTCTCTCTGTCAAATAAATAAATAAAATCTTTTTAAAAAAAAATTGCTGTTCCTTGGGGCCCCTGTGTGGCTCAGATGGTTAAGCATCTGCCTTCGGGTCAGGTCATGATCCCAGGGTCCTGGGATCGAGCCCTGCGTCGGGCTCCTGGCTCAGGGGGGAGCCTGCTTCTCCCTTTCCCTCCCGCTCCCCCTGCTCATGCTCATGCTCTCTCTCTCTCTATCTCAAATGAATAAACTTAAAAAAAATAAAAAATAAATAAATTGCTGCTCCTTTTCCTCCCTTTTTAATGTAACTACTTCTGACCTCAGGTATTTGTGTTCTGAATGGGGGTTCTTTCATTTAATACTATTGTTGTGAGATTGGGTTCGTGTTGTCATGCTTTGTTCATTCTCATTGTTATATAGTTTCTCCTTATATGCATCTTCAGCAGTTTATTCACTGCTCTGTAAATGGACATTTGGATTATTTGCTGCTTGGGGCTCCTGCTGAACAGCACTGCTGTGCACATGCATAGATCTGGCCCTTTTGCAAACACATTTGCTCTGCTCTGGGGTCTATCACCGGGAGTGGAGTTGCTCTGTCATAGGATGCGTTTAAATTCAGTTTGGGTAGATTCTGCCAGTTTTCCACAATGGAAGTACAAAGGAGATTCCCAGCAGCTACGAGCGACACCTTGCAGGTGCCGTATCCCCCTATAGCCATGCTGGTGGGTGTGTCCGGGGATCTCATTGTTTTAGTTTTAGGGCAGGAGATCCTGTTTGTTTTAAATACGACAATTAAACGGAGCCATCTGCCCACCTCGCGCCTTTTCTTAACAGAGATTACAGCTTTCTTGGGCACCCCTTCCATGCTAGCAGTAGAATCAGGAGGCCATTCCTGTCCACACATCTTCCACAGCCCCTGACTGGCTTTCTGTTTCCCCAGTAAGAAGAAGAAGAATGACGCGGGGAAATCAATCAAGACCGCCCAGGACCGAGTGCTTACATATCAGTATAACATGAATTTTGAGAAGGTGGGCAAATGCATCATAATAAACAACAAGAACTTCGACCAAAAGACAGGTCAGTGCTGTGGGCCTGGGCTGACCTTTCCTGTCCCCTTGTGTCATCTTCAGCTTGTATCAGACTTTGATTAGAGAAGGGCCGTGCCCATCTGCTGGGGCAGACAGCCGCCCACCCAGTGCTCTTTACGTGCCCAGGAAGAAGGCACGAGGGACATCGGGAGCTTCGAGTCTGAGGTCCCACCACGTGCATTCGCTGATGTGGGACTTGGACCAAAGGGCTACGAATCGAGGGGCGCTCTTTGGTCTCGACTGAAGCAGAGAGTTGCCGTGATGAGGCTCACCTTCTGTGGGCAGACTGAATGACCTTCTCCTTTGAGTTTGCTTCTTATCTCAGTTGCTCATTTCAACTGTGACCTTGGAAGCATTGAGACCGGAGCCCACAAGGCTACACTTAGTGCCCGACCGGATGCGGCTCGCGGGCGGCACTCAGCCAGGAACCGCTCATCATGGCCTTCATTCCCACAGGTATGAGCGTCCGAAATGGGACGGACAAAGATGCTGAGGCCCTTTTCAAGTGCTTCAGAAACCTGGGCTTTGATGTGGTCGTCCATAATGACTGTTCTTGTGCCAAGATGCAAGATCTGCTGAAGCAAGGTGCGTGCCCGTCTCCTCCCCGCACCTCCTCCCTGCTCCGGGATGGGCCAGCACGCCAGCGGTCTCGGGAGGGCGCCTTGGCGGGACACAGCGATTTCAGCCCGGGCAGCCTTTCCTTCCTCTGGGCTACTCCGGCCCAGGCGGAGGCCTTTCAGAACTTCCACCTCTCCCTAAAAAGATGAAATCAGCAACTAGGACAGCAAGTGATAGGTTTGGTATCTACAGAACAGTCTCCATTTCAGAAAGCTAATTCATAGGGAAGGAACAAGTCTGTATCTTTCTGTCCAGAACGGAGTTGAAGTGTCAACCTTTCCCTGGTGGGGATAGAGATAGAGAAAAATAATCTCCCTGTATTGCAGATGTTTATGTTTTAAACAGACTTTGCAGATACGGGAACTAAGGCACAAAATGGTGACGTAACTTGCCTGGTGTCGCAGGCCTAACAAACAGCAGGGCCTTGCCCATTCAGTGCCCCCGGACGCTGCCTCCCAGCAGCCGCCTGAACCCCTCCCACATGGGGGGCACACCTCCTCACGAGGGGCACACCTCCTCACGAGGCAACCCCATCTAGGTTTCAGACCGTGTGAGAATTCTAGAATCCCCTGTCTCTAACTTCTCTGCACTGGTCTTCCTTCTCTCCAGAGAGGTGCTCCTCCCTCTGCACACGTGTCTGACAGTCAGTGGCCACTACCAGGCTGGGACGGAGCACCCTCTGGAGGTCCCGCAGGACTTACATCTTAACCTTTCCATCCTCGAACCGCTTGCTTGCAGCCTCTGAAGAGGACCACAGAAATTCCGCTTGCTTCGCCTGCATCTTGCTAAGCCACGGGGAAGAAAATTTAATTTATGGAACAGATGGCGTGACAGCAATAAAGGACTTGACCGCCCATTTTAGGGGGGACAGATGCAGAAGCCTTCTAGAGAAACCCAAACTCTTCTTCATTCAGGTAATCCCTTTTCAAAGCCAGTGCCATTGAAAAAGGACAAAGATGACAGAGCGATGACAGCGTGACTTGGGTTCTATCACCTTTACAGATGTACGTGCTGTTTCAGTTGGGGTTTGCAAATTTAGGTTTTGTTTTTCTATCCCTCCATGCTTGGCATCTGTATTTGCATCAGCTCAGCCGTTGTGAGGGTTTAAGACACTGTGATATTTTCATTTGCTTTGCTTGCTAATTTGACGCAAGCTTTATTCATTATGTATTTATATTTCAAATTCTCA